CGCCAACCAAATGTGTTCAGGTACCCCTGTCTGTGTGTATCAGTACTGCCACAGAACACAGCCACAGAAGTGCTAAATATTTTAGGCGTTGTGTTTTGGGGAAGCTATTGACAAACAAGACTTTATGAATAAGAAATAGGACTGGAAAGAAAGTCTGTTCTAGCCCTAAATAATATTATGCCTATAATAAGAAATACTTGCCTTAACTGTTACTGAAGTTCCCAAGAGGTGAAGGGTCTTTAATCTCCCTGAGTTATTTGTTAGATGCTTAGTTGCTCCTAAAATAGGAAGCTTTTCTTGATATCTAGTTTATATGCTGCAAATTATGCTCATCATTTCATACCTTCCCAGAATGGATGTGGAAGACAGATGATTGTGATAGTCTTCCCACATTCTTCTACTGAACCTTTTTGTGCGTATTCCCTTAATTTTCTCTTCTGATAGCTAGCCAGCTCTTCTTATCTGTCTCATAAACTATGTATTCAAGCCATATCTTTATATTTGTTGGTGATCTCTGGGCTTGCTCTCGTTGGTTTGCCCCCCTCTCGTCCACCCCTGTGTACGAGTTGGGGTTTGCCAGGCAGATCAGTGAAGCATCAATAATTAATAAGAGCCAATAAAAAAGTTCGAAACAATAAGAAATAGTCAGTTCCCATCTAAAGAGGGAAAATCTGAAACATCCACTTATTTACCGACAATTGGGTAGATGAGGGTGTTGAATATAGATCTTATCAGCGATCAGCATTCCTTATTAATTTGCTTCCTTCAACAGAAGCAGGAAAAAGTTGATGAGATGCTTTCACGTGCAAAGGAATTTCAAATTTGCTTATAGCAAAGGAATGATCCATCAGAACTGCTGCTGACTTTGAAGGATAAAGAAACACAGATTTTCCTCTGTGCCTGGTGCCCTCATGTGGCTTTGATGTTCAGCTTCTTGCAGATTAATTAAACACATCACTGCATGGCTGACACTTTTGCTGTGTAAAAGGTGGAGAATAATTTGCCCGCGTAGCCTTGTATGTTCCTCTGGGAGTACAGTATCTTCTGGAAAGCCCAAATATGCTGTTTGCCATATGGGCTGCTGGATTTGGATGTGCAAACTCCTTGAGTTCCCTAACTTAAACCAAGAACCTTTCTCACAGTCTGCACACGTTGATGTACGTGATTCAAACCTTACTCCTCCGAGGGTTGTTACGGCTGAAGAGATTTGTGCTACAGCCGCTACCTTCTTTAGATCACTGTTAAAAATGCCACCGTAGTTCTATTGGTGGTTTTAAAGAACTACCATCTTTTGGCTTTCAGCTCTAATGTTAGGTCAAATTTTTATTGTGTGTACTGAGCTAAAAAGTTAAGGATTATTTCTGTCAGGAAATAGAGTTTAAAATGTTCTTTCTCAGCTAACTTAAAACTGCCCCATTTTTCCTTTAGCTACAGCTGCAGTATGACGAAGAAATTTCTATATTTAATGCTGTAAAATATACACAGGATAAATGCTTCTTTGCACAGCATATCTGAGTCTGTCATTAGAATACTTCTAAATTGCTCATCTAGAAAATCCACTCTAAACCACATCATTTATCCACAAACATCATGCAAAAAACTTTATCTAGGATATTCACTACATGTCCATAAATTATAATAACAAAACTCTTGCACAAGCAAGAGGTGAGCATAGTTGCTGTGGAGGCTGCTGGTGTGGTTTGATGCAATGGCTTTCTGAAGGTGCTTGTCAAAGCTTTTCTTTACAGCTGGATCAGAGAGATTTAATAGGTGTGCAAATTTTCCATTAGCTCTACAAGACTATACATTTTTAAGAGACTTTGCAGAACTCTGAAGCATTTGAAATTCTACTTTGTGAATTCTTCGGGTGGAACAGCACAGAACTGAAAATTCTGATTAAAAATTGAAAAAATATTTCCTTGTTGTCCATACTACTGTTAACAAAGATATATAGAGAGTTTGAAAATGAAAATGGAAAAAGATCTGAAGCTAAAGCAGCTTAAACCAGGCATATGCTTTTTTGTTGGTAGGACTATCTAATGGGTGTGTTCCTGCCGGTACCTGCGTGACAGCCGTCGCGTAGCCTTTAATGACGTGTGCCCACGAGCGCTGCTGGGAACGCTGTGACTCGCGAGTCTCTGTGAGCATTGCCTTTCTTTTTCTCCTGCTGCTTCTACAGGTTCAGAATCCGGCTGTAACTTTGAGTGATTCCATCAGAAAACAGTTCCAAAACTTTGAATTCTTCAATATTGCGGCAATATTGATGTCATCTCCTCCCCCTCCCTCTTCCCTCTTCTTTTGCTCTTTTTCTCCCAAATTGCAGTTATATTAGTGTACGTCTTTGAACTCACACTATTTACATTCTTTGCACCTGGGATTCACCCAAATACCTCGCAGCTTTGTCTTGGAGCACAAATACTGAACAGAGCAAGAGAGATTTCAAGGCAGTTTTTTCTTTGATCTTTCTTGTCCTTGTAATACCAAACCTAGTGAAACTTGTCATATTAGTGATGGTATCGACATTTTTCTTGCTAATAATCTCACTCAGAAGTTTCCCGAGTAACATATTAGCTCTTCTCCAAGGTTTGAGGTGGACTAAGAAATTTAGCATAATAGCTACTAAAAATCATTAAGTGTTAATATGCTTGAGCTATAAGTTAGTTAATGTACTAAGACTGTTGCCACATATTATAAATTAAGCTGGTTTATGTATAAAATGAATTTACGTATAGGCTCTCTAGTAAGCCTTTCCTAGTCTGCTGAGAGCTTCTCCCGACAGTTAGGAACAGAAAGGTGGAGCTCATTAGGTGTGCCCCTGTTGGTATTTAAGAAAAGGCACTTGCAGAAAGCCCATGAGCTGCACAGCACTCGTATGTGCGTTGAGGTTACTGACATTCTTGGACTTGCATCTCTGCAGTTGATTCTAGAAATAACCCTTAATAACTAGCACAATGTTAGTGTTATTTTGATCATCATGTCTTATTTGTATTAAGATAAAATAGTAACAGTAAAAAGAGAAAAATCTAACAATATAAAAACAATCTAAGGGTATAGCATTCTTTTCAGCTGTATCATTCTAAACAAAATGTTATTTTTTGTATTATATCTCGGCCAACAAAATACGCAGCTTGCAGTGCCTCGCAGTCCACCATTGTTGATGCCATTCATTCTTCAACTATATGCCCGTGCTTGCTGAGCTCTAAATACCACACTTCCCAAGCTGAGGAGGCTGTAACTTCACCTTATCCTCTCATTGTGTGGTATGTGGAGATAAAATCGAGGTTATAGAAGTCTACCATAAAGTGTCGCAAAAGAACAGACTGGTTCACTGTATTTCTGAGCTGTAAATTTTGACCACAGCCCAACAGATTAGTATGAATACTAGTGTTGTGAAACCCCAGCACTTGGTAAAGAGAAGTAAAGCAGGAGAACAAAAAGGCATAATTCCTTAAACTAATATTCCTAGATTTTTTCCTTGCAGCTTTGACACCAATTATTGGTGTAATTGGTGGAATATTGCAAAATTTTTAGAAAGAGAAAAATGTGTTTCATGGTTCATCCTCTGTTCTGAAAGAGAAGATCTTTTTCCTAATATTTTTTTTTAAACACATTAGAATTAAGAATTGGGGTAACATTTTGATCATGTGTTGTGGGTTTTTTTCTGTACCAATAATAAATTTATGAACGTAGTTTGAGGTTAAAGGTGAAGCTCTGTATGGATGACCTCAAGTCTTCTCATGTTTGTAAGACATCTGAAAACACAGGAGTTGCATAGGACTTAGCACTTGGTTTTTGTCTCTTAGATGTTTTGGCATCTTTTTGCACATACACATTTATTTTTCTCATGTAATATACTAGATCTCTTTGTGACTAAGAGCTATATAAACTTACCTGTGCGTGATTAAAGTAAAAGGAATTCCGAATATCCCATGTAGGTTAATCCTTAAAACCCTATGTATGGTTCACAATATAAGACTGGTAGAAGTTTAAGTGTAGAATTTGACTATAATGTCTAAGTGGAATGTTTTTAATGTTTATCAGTTTAATCAAGCAAGTGAATACGCTTGATCAAATCAAAATATCTAATTATTTATTCACATAGAAACCAGTAAATTTCAGGGTTCGTAGCACAAAACTTTTTGTTAAAAAAGAAAACAAGTTATGCCATATAGCTTCTTTACTCTCAATAAAATAGCATCATTGCAGTTAAACTTAAGATTACAATAAGAATGAAACATTCCAGATTATATTGGTTGGAGCACAATGTGATGAATATAACGAGAAAATCCTTGTTATAAGTTTTACCACAAGGAAATATCAATAGCTAACACCCATATTCTCCAACTAGAAATCAAGAATATTTGAGTAGATCTTGGCATAAAAGGCACGAAACACAAAGCAAAGCATGCTTGTGTCATTTGTCACAAAGAAGCATTGACATTTGTGCAACATGGAAAAAGATCAGCATTTTTCCAGACTCTTCCAATATCACAGATGCTCAGGGAACAGATCTTCCCCTTAATGCCAGCGTATCGCTCCCGGTTCAGGTGGAAGTGTCTACAAGAAAGGAGGAGTATATAGAAGAGAATACATCCGTACGCTTCCAGGAAATCTTAGCTCATATATTGAGGAAGCTGCTGCTCCAGCATTGTTAGTAGTAAATAAATACACTGCAGCTTTTAATACTGCAGCCACCGCAGCTAGCACTTGTGGGAATTATCTACCACTGGTAAGACTGTTAACGATGCTGGACAGCCCTCATAAAGGCAGGTTTACCCCTTGCATTGTGTGATGACAGCTCCCTCTTTGCTTCAAATAAGCTTCTTTTGGAAAAGGTTGAGTCCTTGAAATAAGGGACTCTCTTCAGAAGAGAATGCTGCCTGTTGCACCGGGGAATGGCTTCTCTGATGTTAAGGTGCTTCAGAAGTACACATCCAGCACCTGAGGTATTTCCTTCCGTAAGGCGCCGTTGCACAAGCATCCTGTTAGCAGCCGATTTGCTATATTTCTATAACAAGCCTATCTTCATCATCACTGCTAGTGTCATCATACTCAACTCTGGTTTGCTTCCTCATCATCTCTAAACCTCTCTTTTTGTATGTCTTGGAAGGTGTTGCAGAGTAAGTCTCCAACTTGGGGGACCTGAGAGTAATCGGGGGCTTTTTAAAGGCAGCAGTAGCTGTTCCGTGTGGCCTTCCGTAGCTGTTTGACTGCGGGTGGGTTCTGTTCTTGTCCGCACTTCCACAAAGGTCAAGGATTTTTTGAGAAACGTTTGGCCGCTCTGTGTATTCTACACTGGGTAATTTAGTCCTTGTGATGGACTCAGGAGGAGTCTCTGCTTTTGATCCGAATAAACGTGAACATCCAGGCTGGGAACTGGGACTTGAGTTGTCTTTTGGAGATGAATATGTGTTTTCTTCAACTGGAGGTTTCTCCCTTCCTGAAGCTGGGATCACCGGGTCTAATGTGCCAAATCTTTGACTCTCCCGCTCTACATTTAGTGTGTTTTCCCGACTTGCTTCTAGATGTAAGGAGAGATGACCAGTAGTCTCTGAGTTTGTGCTGTCAGGTTGGTCACCTGTGCCTGTGTTTGTAAAATCAGAAGGGCAAGACCAAAAAGAAGATGCCATTGAGTCCCTCTGAACGTTTGGCTGTGACTCCCCTGGGACCGATGGCTGAAGCACCAGTGGTTGTGTCACTAAACAGCAGATTTCCACATCACTGCTAACTGGCAGCGTGGCTGCGTTCACTGTGGATGAAAAGGAATGAGCTGTCATAGGTATTTCCAGAGGAGCTGTAATGTTCTGAAAAGAGAAGTTTGTTCTTGTGTGTTCCCTGATTTGCTCAGAAATGTCCTGTAGAAACTAAGGGGGGAAAAAATTTACATTTCAAATTTGCAGTCCAGAGCAATTCCATCCTTCATAAAAGTGCAGTGATATCTAAGTTGACTGTATCAGTAGAAAACATTTACCTCTGCTGTAACTCATATCAACTGAGTAATTAAGCATAATGTCAACCTTTATTTATAGAACTGTGATTATATTTGCACCCCTTTTCTTTTATTCCATTATTACAGACCAAGTTACTCATCCACCTTAGGGGTTAGGGGTTTCAAGCTGCATTCTTATGTACTGTCTAGGATGACGTTCTTTTCATTAAGATATTTTAATATGCGTATTGCGATGATGTTTGTGCTATGTAGGGGGAAAGGTTTGTGATGAGTCTGTGAGAAATATTACGATGTCCGAGGCGGTGAGATACGTGTAGGAAATAAAATTACTTAGTAAAAAACATTTTAAGGATTATGTTCCTAAATATGGTACTGCTTATGCTACATGAAAAACCAGTGCTCATGCTACACAACAGCAGTCGGGCTCAGCAGCTTTTGTCTTCAAGTGTGGCCAGGGGAGGTCTTGGGAAAGGTACCGTTAGGACAAGCACCAAATCCTGCCGGGAGCAGTGCCGACGCTGCACGCACCAGCGCTGTGTGCCGCGCGTGCCAGGCTCGCTAAGGCCCCTTCCCGCTAACCAGCTGCTGGCGGCATTGAAACCCCAGCAGCACTGGTTTCCACAAAGGGCTAAAGAAATGCAGGTGCGATGCTGGATACACGTTCTTCCCTCCGCTACTTTCCTCATGTCAAGCTTTCTGTCTCAGGATGCTCTGGGCTACGTGTGCGGGCACCTCTGCCGGCAGCGCTAATTGATCCTCTGGCAGCAAGCACAAGAAATATCTTTTTCAATTGATGCAAGTTTAATTGTTCTTTTCAAAAAGCTAATTCTAACATTTTCCTTATATTTTAACTGCAAAAATACCTTTAGCACATTTGTAAACAAAATCTGTGATACAAAGTAGTCTCAACTTGAACTTTAAAACAGCTGAATATAATTCCAGTTTTAATTACCAATTCCCAATATCTTTTTTCTTTTAATAAAAAAGTAACACATGAAGTAAGGTACAATACCTACTTTTTTATCCATTTTGTCTTTGTGTTTAACGTGGTTTAGATTTTCAGTATGGGAAGATATTCCTGAGTTATTCTTTCCTTCTGTTTTCCTTCTGCAAAGTGGCTTGTCTGAGGTGGAATGAGATGTGACTTTTTGCTGGTGTAGGTAATTTTCTATTGGAAAGAGATTGCAGAAACATTTACTTTGATTTTTATTCCCCCACCTGCTAGAACTTACTAAATTTCTCATCATATCACTAACTAACTTCTATGTTGTTACTATTTTCTGTAAATTTTTATTCTAAGCCTGATGCACTTTCTCATTTACATACATGGGTTTGGGTTTGGGGTTTTTTTATTGGCCGTTACTGTCCTGCAGAGTAACAGCTATTTTTCATGTCTGCTATGAATGAACACAAGGTATTGTCCCTGCTTCCAAGAAGGCTGCAGCATAAACATCATTTGCATTAATACCACTAATTAAATGGGGGGGTCCTGAAACACAGAAAGCAAGTCAACACCCAAACCCACACTGCAAACACACAGTCTTGTTTCAGAAACTGATAAAGATCCATCTTAAAACTCTTTAGCCTTCTAGCGAAAGGTTATTTTGGGTTATTTCTTTTTTAAATGCCCTCCTAATTGTCAAATTCACATATATGTGTATGAAAATCGTTCCATTCTGAAAATGTGGGAGATGTTTGCATTTTTACTCATAGAACATACTGAAGGACAAAAGTGGTTTTGCAGTTCCATGTGGAACAGGTGCACGTCAGAGATACTGCTATCGTTCTTTCTCTTAAAAAATAAACATTCAGTACATTAAAAAATATGAAAAATACTTACCTTGTACCTTTGATTGAGGAGAATGGCACTTCTTACTAAATGTCCGGGGCTGTGATGAAGAGCCCTTTTTCAAAGCATCTGGTGTTCTATTTGGAAAACAGTGCCGCTTGCTTGCTCGGTTATTTTTCCACTGAGCATATCCATGTACGTGCCTCCCTCTGTGCCTGCAGTGCCAATGGCATCGAAAGGGTAAACAAATATGTGTGATTGAAAAGCAGCCAGAGTAGAATAATACCACATCATCAGGGAAATTTAAGTCTAACAGCAATTTACTACTGTGAAGGTGATGTTCGTTTGTGTCGACTCAAAAAAAAAAAATCAAGATTTTAGGCAGGACATTCACAATTATTTTATTAAATTTTTCCTCAGTAGGATTCAGTAAATTCTTGGTTTGCTAAGAGAAAAGGATTCAGGAATAACAAATCCTTTTTCCTCTGGAATTTTAAAACAACATACTTCATAAAGACTTGAGTCGTACAGGAATCACCTGAGACTGCATAGTTGTTAGCTTTTTCACTTTTCACTTCTTATGTGCTGTCTATTCATCATCACTAATGAACAACATCAATATTTCAGTCACTTAGAAAACTCACACTGAATAACCCAACTCTGCTCTGTTCCCTACTCTGTCTAGATCTTGCAGTAACTCTTAACGATGGAGACTGAAGTACCGTGGAAGGTCCCATCCCTACATCCATAGACTCAGTCACTATACACAGAGTAATGAGTAAATCCGAAAGGGCATGCTTATTTGGGTGTTTGGTGTATTAGAAAAATATATTACATGTCATGATTAATAGTTTGGCCAGTTAGCTACTAATATGTGTGACCTGAGCTTTCAGCACACTGTACTTAATTGAGTCCCTGTACTTATTTGATATAGCCAAATAAATAATTGAGACCAGCAGGAAAAAAACCAAACAAACCAAAATGCCCCAAAACCAAAGCAGAAAAATGTCCTAGAATAATGTCACTAGACTGGATAACATAGGACTGAGTCTTCTATTTTTATTCTTATGCCCCTTCAAAACTGCAATGCTGTTTGCCAAACTAGACACGGTGATTAAGTTACTGACACTGATTTGTGCACAAGTGAGTCACTCTGTCTGATTTTGGTCATGAAATAAAATAAGAGGGATGTATGCACACAATATGGGTTTCTTATTGAAGCAATTCGTCAGACGTTCTGCTACCCCACACTCTTGGAAGATTAAAGGCTAAATCTTCCACTGATATGAACTCCCATTAAATACGGAGAAATTGTGTTGATTGATACAATGTGTCTTTGACAGTTTTATACTCAAATTCTTCCTGCTTTTTATTTAAACTACAGATGGTTTTGTTAGTTTGTGTTAGAACTTGATATTTATTCTTCTGCGCTCTCTTGTGAATACAGGATACAGATCTTCTGAGGACAAAAGGGTCTTGCACACTGCTTTTACCTGTAACAGGATGAAAAACTGAAGTACTTTGGTTCCCTTCAAACAAAAGGAAATGCTGACAATTTGGAGAGATAAGAATAATTTCTAAAGCACAGTGAGAGTCACTGACCGGTCATCATCTTTCTTTGGTATACGTCTGTTTTGCTCAGAAAAGTCTATTCTTGATAGTCAACAACATGCTGGTATTTTTTATAGTTTAGTTTTGTGGAACTGCTGCTCTTTCTGAGAGATTTATTTTTGCCCCTGATTTTGACAAGGTTGAATGTTTGGGATAACTTTTTATTTTCTGTGGACTTTTTACACAGAGTTTAGCAAAATTATGTGTTTCTAGGGAAGCTGAAAACCATATTCCTTACCATTTTGGGGTGACTTTAATCTTTTTCTGTTTGTGGCTCCTCTTGAGTTTATTTGTTGAGAGTTTTTCCTTTTTGCAAACTACTGTTTTCTTCTTTTGCTCTGAAATATTTTTGAAAGCACCACCAGGAGCTGTTGAGTTTAACTGTTGAGAATACTGGAAAAAAATGAAATACATGAAAATTCTGAATTACATTAACTGAGAGATCGGAAATCTATGCTCTTTTTAAATAGCACTGAATAGCATAGTAGTTAGAGAGCACAACTTTGATTTTTTCCTAGAATTTCTGTGTTAGTTTTTTCTAATCACTTTGTCCATCTACTTCTATAAAATAAAACTGAAACAACTCACTGCTTTTGTGGATCTGTATAGAATTAGCGTATGTTCTTTCAGATTCTTCTTCCTATAGCAAGGGTAAGCTTAGTCTTACAGAGCTGTTCTAGGATCTGTACAGATAGACTAGTCTATCTTCACTTACCTGAAAAGTAAACACTTTCAAGGCTTAACCACTTTACAGGGCATTAATGCAGTTTGGTTTTGTTGATATTTCAGTGTATCTGAACGATGAGAGATCTAGTACCCAGTCTGGCTTTGACTCCAAGTGTCTCCGAGTATAATAAAGTCTTGACATTAATGGTCTACTACAGTCCTACTCTAATTCAAATATTCATTTAAAATGAGAAAAGTGTAATAGATATGCTGTTACAGAAGAATATAAAATATACTCATAAGGGGAAAAATCAAGAAATAGAAATACACTGTTCTCACTAGACAGCATTCCTACTGAAAACTTAAATATTCACACAAAAGTATGTGTTTTTTATTCATCAAATGAATATGTAACTTATCTTATAAAAACATAAATTGTAAATTCTGTATCTACAAAGCCTGTAAATGTCCATAAATATACTTTTGATAATTCTTTTATTTTTCTAATGGGGTGAGGGAGTGTCAGCCAAACACACCCTCTTGAGAAAAGAAAGCAGATTATTAATATTACCTCCTGCATCTGTTGTCCTTTAGAAAAGGATGAAACCAATGTTTTTAAACTCCTGTTTGTTAAGCCATATGCCACGGTCTTGCTAATATTTTTCATTTTGAAAATAGAAATATCGTATTTCGACAGCGTGCATTCATTGCTGGATTCCTCGTCACGGGTGTGCAGGGAGGAGTAAGCAGAGTCTGCGTTGCCCTTCTGCTCCGCAGGCAGAGGAAGGCTTCTTGTCAAACAACACCAAGTTAGTCGAGGTTCAGCGTTCAGCGAGGGGAAGGTGCTCTTCGTGCTTGATACCATTAAACTTCCAGAGTAGCAAGTCGGATTATCGTGGGGTAGTGCTGGGAATTCTTTACAGCGAGTGGTGAGAGTGTGGCAATACAAAGTGCCAAAAGAATGGCAAAAATAAGTGGGGTTGTCTGTTGAGCGCTGAGAGTGCTGCGTCTCCTGCACTGCTGGGGAAGTGTCCTCAAGAACGCATGGACCTCCACCCCTGTCCCACCCTGGGAGTGTTGGCTCTGCACCCTGGCGAAAAGCTGACGTCATTATCAAAGGGTCACTTCCTGAGCAAAGGTGATGTAAAACCTTCCTCTCTTCTTTGATGTCAGCTGATAGGAAAAAACCACTTGTATACAGAGAAGTAAAGCATATTTTCTTCCTGGGGGTCTGTGTAGAGGAAGTAGTTACGCTCACCCACTTCTCTTCTGTTTGTCTTTGAAAATTTAATTTATTTTTGTCCCATTTGGTTTTCCAAGCATTATAAAAGGTGTTATCTGCTGTGGTTAAGATATTTGTTGTTTCTGAATTGACTGGAGAACAAAATACTGGAGTCTTCCAGTTTGCATGTACGTTCCATCGTAGCTCTCCTTTGCTCGCCTTTTGTCTGACTTCAAGTTTTAAAGGGGACCAAAACACATCATTAGACTGAGAACTGAGCGATCCGCTGTTGGAAGAGCAGAGGGGGTTGGTTAAGGTGTCTGTCACAGATGTGCAAGGTGTAATCTTCTGTTCCGATCTAAGCAAAAGTGACAAATCTGAGGCTCTCTTGTCTTGGGGCACTTTAAGGATATATTTTGGAGAAAAGGCATTTTGTTGTGGGACTGGATTTAAATGACCAGGTTGCAGATGATGAGTTTTCAAAGACATGTCAGCAGCATTGTCACTGAAAAGTGGTACTTTTGCTGCTGTTCTCGCAAGACATGTTTTGACATCTTTATCTGTTGCATTGTGCAAGGCAAAAGAATCGCAATCACTTCCCCTTAATTCAGGCCCTAAAAATCCCACAAGTGAAGCTTTTGAGATACCTGCTGAATGTGAAAGAGGGTTAGCGTCGCTATAATTAGGAGCTTTGGTGGGGAGTTGGATTGTTTTCATATACTCCACATTCTCAGTACCTCCAGTGGATTCATTAATTCCTGTGCTTAAGTTTTGCTCCTCTGCTGTACTGGAGAACGTCACTGGTGCTGTGTCAGGAGACTGAGCGTTAGTGCCATAGACCCTCTCTGCTTCATTTACCACGCTGTTTTCACTGCTGGGACTAGGGCAGGGCTTTGAAATAATGGTTTTTGTCTTCTCCGCTTCGAATTTCAGCTTTTTTCTTTCTGATGGTAAATTCTGGGATTTCCCTGCAGCTTCTCTGCTGTTGTTGCAATGGGCCCACGGGGGTGTCAGGGCATGCTGGCCAGTTCCCGTACTCCGGCTATGGTTTCCATAACTGTTTGAAGTGCTTTTATAGTCTGATTCAGATGTACTGGATTCTTTCCCAGGGCTTGGTTTTTCCCACTTGCTCCTCTGCACTGGCAAGCAGTCATCATTCCTTCCATCAGCGTTCAGCTGACACCGAGGATTTTGAAGCCTGAGCTCACAACCGCTCGGAGCTCGTAACACGCTGTTGCCACCTGCGCACTTGTCTGTGTCACTGCCACTGAGGTCCGGGGAAGTTTCGCTCACTGCAGCCTGCACACCGGCCTTCACTGAGCGTGGCGTCTCCGTGACGCAGGTCGAACTGTCTGCGGTTTCCTTGGAGAGGACATTCTGTGGAATGTGGTTACCATTAGTAGAGGTTTCTGTTGTCACAAGGGAGGAGAGACTGTCACTGACAGAGCTCCTGCCATCTCTTTCCTCCGTAATTTCAGTACTGCTGACTGATTCCTTTGAATCGGGAGAGAAGCTTGTGATATCTGTAATCTTATTCCCCCTTGGTTTAATTTTCTTGGCGTTTTGACTGCTTTTCATCTTTTGGTAGATTTTCTTAAATGTTTCATCTCCATACATTTGCCATTTTTCTTGAGAGAACTTCTTTAACTTCCTTTGATTGTGTTTGTTATTTTTAGCCCTGATTACTTCTCCAGCCCCAAGCTTTTTGCTCCCTTGCAGCTCCTCCGAGGGAGGAGGATGATCAACCACGTTACTTAGAGGCAAATCATCCACTGCCGTTTGTCTGACGAGGGCTCGGGGATGGCTGTTAGGAAAATCCACTGAATTTGCAGCAAGATTGTTGCTAGGCAGCAAAGCGGCAGTGCCGCTGTTGACAGACTGCTTCGCAAGGGAAAGTGGTTTGGGGCGACCTGCTGTGTCACGCACCGCTCCTGTGCCCTCCGCGACCGGCAGAGAGTTGCTCCGCGTGACAGGCACAGTATCGACCGTTGTGGAGAACTGGGTGGGGACTGAGTGAAAGAACATTGGCTTGCCCTTTTCTAGGGGTGCAAAGGTAGATTTTGCTGAACAAAGGGAAAGATTCTTTTTCCTATTTACATCGCAAGTTCTGATGTCAAAATGGAAAGAGTCTTTGTACGTATAAGGCATTGGCAGATCGATGCTTCCCTGTTTAGAAAGGACAGTTTTTCTGGGCCTAACGTTGTCTAACTGGGTATCATCCACCACACTTTTGTTATGAGATATAAGTTTTGAAATGTGTTCTTCCAGCCTCTTTTTCTCTAGCATCGAGGCTGTCGCCTTCTCAGCTGCCTCTGGCTTTGCAGGGCTTCTGGAGGCACACCTTGAGCTGCTGCCGGCAGTTTCGTTTTCCAGCTCGGCGCTGTGTTCAGAGAGGCTGTGCAGAGGGCTGGGTGATGCCATCTGCAGTTCTGTACTGTCGGAGCGGGACAGGTACCCCGAGTCGGTGCTCTCACACTTCTTCAGCTTGCCGTCAAGCGGCCTGTAATCCCACTGTTTTTCCGAAGAGGTTGCTTGCTGCCTTTGCAACTGCACGTGCTTATGGGCCGTTGGAGTTCTCTGCTCCTGTAGCTTCTTTCTCTGGCACTGACCATTTGGCAAAGCTCCTGGAGATGATGAACTTTGAGGTTCTCTTTCAGGAGCCCCCTGATTGGCCTGTGCGCTAAAGGGCTGATTCGTTGTTTCTTGATTTCCTGAAGCAAATGATGAATTGCTTGCTGGTGGCAGTGAAAGGTCATTAGGTTTCTTAGTGTCCGCGCTGGTCTCTGAACTCGTTTGTTCCATCTGTACCCCCCTGTCCTCACAGGTCCTACTAAGTCGTTTGCTGCCTTGATGTGACGTGGTGCTCTCTGTTGATTTCTCGTGTGGCTCCAACATGCCCGCGTTGTCAGAGTCTGAGGGCAGTCTGGTGTTGTTGACGTGTGTTTGAGTTCTTCTGTGTTTATACAAATTGCTTTGAGTTTTAAACGCAATACCACAAGTGGTGCATGGAAAGGGCCTCTCTCCTGTGTGAGAGCGAATGTGTTTCTCAAGGACGCTTGGCTTCAAACAATCTCGTCCACAGTGCTTGCAGATATACTTCCCAGCTTTTTTTGATTTTCCTGGGCTTCCAATAGATGCGTTTACACAAGAATTCGGTGGTGATAAAACCGGTAAAGTGCTCACTATGTTCAGTGTTAGAGTTTGCCCGAGCTGCTTCTGGAAAATGGGCTGCGGCTGCTCTGTGCCCTCCGAAGGAAGAAGCGGGTTCAGGATCAGAGGTCCGTTGCCGTCCAGGCTTAGGCAGCTCCTGGCAGCCACTAGCTGGCCGTGGGGCTGGAAGCACCCTGCCTGGAGGGGCTGGTACAGCGGGATGGTGAGGGCTTTCAGGTACACGAGCTGGGACAGGGCCTGCTCCGGTCGAGGAGCCGCGCTGCCCCGGCTGAGATCTGCAGACCCCCGTGCAGGCTGGAGGGAAAAGGGTACATCTGGGGGATGTGCCGGTGCAGCTGTAAGACCGGGCTGCTTCTGGGCCGCCATTGCGAAGGTTATCTGCCATACGCTCACGTATCTGTAAGGGAGGGGAAACGAAACAAGTAGGGATCTTCAGATAGCAAAATAAAATAAACGCTTTCAACTGCTGGACCGGGAAAGTTAGCAATTAAAAATATCACAAATCCTATATACAGGCATTGTACAGGCAATAATTACTTCATTTTCCAATCAAATTGATTCCTCTTTCATTTCTTAGCTAGGAATTAAACTTCAGTACAGTGTAAAGAACATTGAACATTGCACTTAAAACCTACAAAAAGTACCCAACGTATTAGAAATGAATCAGAGTATCAGATTTGCAAAAGGAGGATCTCGGCAGCCCAGAAATAATACAATTTTAATTTTCTGGAACCGTATTCCCATCACATATTTGTACCACGTTTTTTAATTGCAGAACTTATTTTAACAAATGTTAACATAGGAACACAGAACAATGAAGGCTGGAAGGGACCTCAGGAGGTCTCCAGTCCAAACGCCTGCTCCGAGCAGAGTTAGCACCGAGGGCAGGTGAGGGCGCTCGGGGTTATCCAGTCTGGTTTGGAAATCCTGCGGGAACACAAACTGCGCAGTTTCCTTGGGCAGTCTGTTCCAAACACGGGACGTTAAACATGGCTGCTCATTGTCGGTGTTTACCCAACTGAAGTGAGCTAAGGCCAAACACATAGCAACTAGTGATGTAAAATGAAACTCTGTGAACAAAATGAAACTGATGTCCCGTTTTACAAGTGAGATTTACATAAATGTGTACAAAGTAGAAAAGATGGTATCAGAGCAAACTAGTGGGATAAATTAAGGCTGTCTTTTGTGTAGCCCAAATTAATTGTGTCTAATTAAATGAGATATTATGGTATACTGCTTTCAATCCCACATGAAAACATTTTGTAAACACAGTTTTTGGAAAAAGTAAACCTGTTCTTACGAAATCTGTCCAAATGCATTCAGGGTTGGTGCTGGTTCGGACAACTTCTTATTTTAACAAAAATTTGTCTTTCTTCTTTCTTAGAAACAAGAAAACTATCCAAATAAGCCAGTTGAAAATGATTTTTGGAAGAGCTGATAAAGGCATCAGCATAACCTTGTAATTATAGTTTGGGTGAAAATTAGAAGGCGATCTGTGAATGTTTAATTCTTGTTAAAGCTGTACTCACAACTCTGTATCCATTGGCTGTTGTGAATAATAGGCTGTTCTTGTGCAAACAGTCATAAAAACCCCATTTGAAGTAACATAATCAGTGGCTAAATGCGATATCTGCAATTTGTTGCCTTTCTGCATAATCTGTAGTGGTGTTTTTGTACCTTCCTTGGATCATTTTAATACATAATCATTACTGGGAAGCAGTAAAAAAACTTACTCAAAAATATTATTTGAAACTTGGACTGGTTCCATATGACACACACACTACGTTACCGTTATTCAAAGCAAAACCTCTGTTGCATGTAGTTACTGAGAATTTTGTAATAATTCGCATAAAGGAGAAATCATCACATGAAAAAATGGGAAAATAACTTTCTATGAATGATCAAATGGAACAGGTTAAGGTCAATGAGTTATGTGCTCAGTAATAAATGTAATTAGCATCTCAATAAATAGACTAGGAATTCAGGTAGTTTTCATGTTAAATATATGCACCGTTGAAAGTGAAAGATAAAGCAGCCCTCTTGGTTGTCAGTCTTCTGCACAGGAAAAGGTTTTGCATATTAGGCTTTTGCTTTGCATCCCACTGATTATTTCATCCCCATGTGTAGCTCACAATGCAACTGTAAATACTTGTCTCCTTGAGCAGCAGGTAACTAACACACCAGGAACCCGGTACCCATTCCCTGTGCTCCTCACTCTGCACCACTTCTGGAAGTTCTGTTGCTGGCTGGCAACTTGTCATTCACAGCCAGGGCTTCTTCCAGCTTCTCCCTGATCTGCTTTGCTTATTGCAAGAATTGGAAAAGTGGAGGAAAAAACAGCACTGCTGTCCCTGGGATGTGTTTTCCAAGTGCTTCCCGTCACGAGCAAGGCCATTAGCTTCTCTGCATGCATTGCATGCCACAACAGAACTGCTGCTGAGCCGCTGAAGCGATGGAGAAGCTCACTACCAACCCCAGCGGGCTCAGGGTTGGACCAGTTATGGGAAACGTATCGGTGCGTGATGGGACTCTGTCTTCACCCAAAGATTTTAGTGTAATAAAAATCCCAGAAAAGAACCTGTAAAATGAACAAATCTGCACACAGCAATGTGTTAGATTCTGCCTTTTCTCCTTTCTTGTGTATTTTATAAATCAAACCCAGGTATCAAGCATGGACTTTTCTTGTCCACTTCAGAGATTTATACATGGAACAATCACTTAAGTGGCTTTGTAATATAGGTATTGACTATATTGATAAAAGAATGTTAAAAGAATATGGCTTGTTAAAGGAATTAAGTTATCCATATTCTGCAGTGTGATTAACACTAGGGGATAAGTGGATTTCTCTAATTTGTGAAGTGAGATTATAGACATTTCAAGTCCATTTAAGAAGGTTCTTAAGCTGTACAGTCACCTTTATTTACAGCAATTTAAGCACAGCATACAATAAAAACAGCAGCAAGTGATAAGACATTAGCCAATGGTACTCATAAACCAAGCATGCAGTACTTATTCCAAAGATGTGAAAAGAAAGAAAAGTTAAGGGGAAAAAAATATGCCGCAGAGACAAGACTCAGAGAAGAAAAGTGAAGTCTGAATACCACATAGGTAGAACATCTAACAAGTTCCACATCAGATGAAACTGGTCATAGTATCTCTCCTCCCCTCCTTCCCCTGGAGAGAAGTGTGGAAATGTGGAATTTACGTTTCCACCCCGATAAGCCTGCTCCAGGCTCGCAAACTATGTTCTCTCTTTGACTATCCTCTTGCGCACGCGTAGCGGATGGGCCCTTCAAGGCCAGCCTGTAAGTTAGCAGGACTTGTGGTGGACAGATACGTTTAATATGAATCCTGCAGTTCCAAAGTACCAGGCTCTCTGTGTAATTTCACTTATTCTGTTAAGTTTCTGGGGCCCGAAATGGAGTGTAATTCTGAGAGTCATTTCAGTGCTCTGTAATGTTCTACAAAGAAAATACTTACATGAGTACGGAAAATTTGAAGGAAAGGTTTAACTGATGCTAAACAATTAAACTAAATGGTGATACACAATATCATTACTTTTAAGAGTTTAACAATCCATTTCTACCAGCTGTGGTAGTTTGCTGCTTTTCACAGCAAACAAAAGGTACGTTCTTCCTCAGTGAAACCTCTGTGGCTTGTATTCTACTGTGGCGAATAGGATCATACTTTTCACATCTGGTGTTTATATACCAAAAGAAAAAGCTACTGTATTTCTTTGTACATTGACAAAAATAGCTTCTCTCAAACTAATTCTACCCCAATGCTAGTTCTGGGTAGTCCTTGCCTGAAGTAGAAGAGCTTCTTTTGTTGATTATCCCCCAGGCTCCGTTCCTGAGCATCTACCTGATGTTCTCAACTCACTTCGTAACTTGTAGCGTCCAACTGCTAGTGTAAAAGTTTGATCCTAATTAGATAAGGAAAAATGTCCAATAAACAAAACTAAAAGCAAGATTTGGCCCATCCAAAATTTTCTAAATTAGTTTCTTAAGCTATCAAAACTAGTCAATAAAATTCCATTTAAGTACAATTATTTTGTTCCTAGTTTGAATTATACTGTCGGGTCTGTGGAACACCGAAACATCAAAAAGTGGAGTAGTTTCAGACAACAAATGAGCGTAGCACAAACTGTCTTATTCTGTATATAAGTATAAAGTATTTTAATAAGGTGGATGTATAAAAAACTCATTTTAAATCCAATGTGTTCCTCTTTTCTATATAATTTTTTCCTTAATTCCAAATATATTTTATAAAATTTGCTTCTTTTTATCAGCACTTTTATAATAATCTTGGATTATACAACCAGAAGATTTTTGTCTTCTGCTTGGCAAACGTAAATGCACTGTCAACTGTCATCATTGTTAAGAAAATAATGAAATAAACATGGAACTACTTATTTCCTGCACTTACATAAAATGTTTTGACACACCATTGAGAGGAGCATCATAGTCTTTAAGCAGATGCAGCGCTGGATCCCCTGGCTTGGGCTACAGGTATAATCTGTGGACACGATAGAGTTAGTTTATTTTTGTAACCACACAGAAGCAGCTTTTCAACATTCTGAACACAGAAAATATACTATATTACACTCGGAGTCTTTGCCTTTTTTTAAACCTTTTGGTAATCCCCACCTTAAGTGTAATACCAGAGAGGATACAGAAGTGGAACCCTCTTTAGTCTGTAAATAACTTCAGCTTACGTACCTTTCGCTGTGCCAGGCACCGCAGCAGCAGCAGGCTCCTTTCTGTCAATACTTGCTGCAAGCACGGGGAAATGAGGACAAAGACTTGAAACAGATTAGAAGTAGGAAGTCGGGTTTTTCTTTTTTTTTTTTTTTTAATTTGGTTCAACATGAGTAGTAATCAGAAACAGAAACCAGTTAAAGTTGAACTAGAAATAAGGTACTCGATTTAACATGAGAAAGGATGAATGAGCGAGGGAAAACAGTTTAAAAGTAGGAAGTGGGTTTTTTTTTTTTTTTTTTTTTTACATTGGTGTCACAGTAACAACCTTCAGAAAACAGGAAGAGATGAAACAGAAGAAAATGAAGCAGCATTTCAGTCTCTTCGTATCCTTTATCATTATTCATGTAGGAACCTAGAAACGGAATCAGCTGTCTTCAAAATGTGGGCATTTGGTACACTGCATTCAGTTGTAGCATTCAGAGAAAGATACTGACACAATGAGAGAATTTTTTTCTTTATACCCCTAAAAGCAATTTGCTAATAACTTTACAGTAAAGATCTCTCTTAAAATGTGTTGCAAAAGACAAGAATGGTGGAGAGAAGGCACTTGCTACATTTGAAATGCTAAACTCATCCAGTGCGGGTATTACCCACCAGCTGCTT